GGAGATGCATCGAGGTCAAGTCAGGCCATATATTTTATATTCTTCCCTCAGATTGTCTTTGAGCCCCACAACATCGACAACGCCTCCCCAGCCACCGTGTCCAGGAACGGGATGGTGTTCATGAGCTCGTCAGTGCTCAGCTGGAGGCCCATCCTGCAGGCCTGGTTACAGAAACTAGCAGAGCAGCAGGCCAGCGCTCTGAAACACTGCTTCGACTGCTGCTACCAGGTGAGAGCCGCCGGGACACAATCAGACTTATTTATCATTTTAATATTGATAAGATGTTACCGCCTGGTCAAACATACACAACAAAGGAGCAGCAGAGCAGTGAACCATAAAATAACCTCATCTGAACTCAGCAAACAAGGATCAAAGCTTCTTAATTCAATTCTCTTCAGTTTTATTTATGTAGCACCAATTCACAACAACTATCACCTCCAAGCACTTTGTGTTGTCGGCCACAGACTCTCCAATATCACACAAAAGAAGGAGAAACGAGGAGAAGCAAGTGCACTGTGCACCCTGATGAACTCCATAATTAATCATAGTGAACTTAGTGAGACATGAACACTGCTATAGACACCAAACATGTTTTCTTACCCGCTGTAAACACGTTTATTTCTGCTGTAACGTTGGACATGTTACCCTGTTACCCCATCGACCCCTGGTGGATGTTAGAGGAACTGCAGTTTTTAGCACTTGACCATTAAAGTCTGTTCAGTTTGGTGTTTATCGCTTGTTTCCAGCACCCATGTAGCCAAACATCAGTTACTGATGACGTTGTAAGCAGAGATTAGAAATGCATCAACCTTGAAGGTAAAGAAATCATCAGACAGCAGGAAAGCTAAAGGGTAGTTTTGTATTCTTCTGTTTCAGGACTTGTTGGACTTTGTCTTCACTGCTGTGTCCCCTAAGATGCAGGTGCTGGAGTGTATGTACATCAAACAGACTATTGACCTGCTGCAGGTAGGACACAGCAGTAAAACACCAGAAAAACTAGAATCTGAGTCTTCAAAGTTCTTGTTGCCCTTTTGTTTGGTTATTTTCCATATTTGTGCTTTCAGGGTTTGCTCCCAGCAGCGCAGGACAAACAGGGTGGCCATGATCATGTGGGACGCATGTTCGTCTTTGCGGTCATGTGGTCTCTGGGTGCACTGCTGGAGCTGGATGACAGAGCCAAGATGGAGGCCTTCCTGAAGGTGTGTGAAAGTTTTCTTTGACTCCATAACAAACCTCGTTTTCAAATCAAATGAACCCGTAGTATGAATATTTACAGTCTACAGAGGCGGGATTACTCACCTTTACCCGCCCCCACCCTTAAGAAGAGGGCTAGGATTAAGGCTGTGACCTACCCACGGTCCTGGTCAGATTCTCGTACCACTTTTCCAACACACTGACGTCTGCTCCTAATCTAGAACACTTTCACCATTTTATGCTAAAAGAAAAAAAGTTTGCAGTACTTTTTGTACAACCTTGGACCCAGTGACACCAGTGCCATTTGAAGAGCCTGTCACATAGAAAGAAAATGATCCCCAGTTCACAGACTGATGATCAGCACCCACTTTATGAAGTTTAGATACCAAACCAATCAAACTTTGACTGGTTCCAAGCAAAAAGGTAAAAGACGTCTAACAAAGGGTCCCTCATCTGGAAATGAGTCAGTCCTGCTCTGTTATCACAATCCTGAACACCACGACCTCCACGGCTGGAGCAAACGAGTCACATGGGACTTTAAAAAAAGGATTTTAAAGGATATATCTGGTTGGAAATGGATGTAAATATCCCATTTGAGTTGAAAGATGTTTTTGTTTTTGTCTCAAAGGCCCACAGCTCATCTCTGGACCTGCCACCCACTCAGGACAACCAGACCATCTTTGAGTTCACCGTCAGCGAGCAGGGACACTGGGAGCACTGGTCCAACAAGGTGAGAGGACTCTATGTTTCTCCTGAGTGTTAACCACAGATAATGAAGTCATCATGCTGCATGCATGTCCTGTGTTTATGGTTCTGATCAGGTCCCAGAGTATGTCTACCCCAAAGACCACGTCCCTGACTACTCGTCCATCCTGGTTCCCAACGTAGACAACGTGAGGACGGACTTCCTGATGCAGACCATCATGAAGCAGAGGAAGGCCGTGCTGCTGATCGGAGAGCAAGGAACAGCCAAGACCGTCATGATTAAAGTAAGAGTGCGCTCAGCCGTTCACCAACACAGGCTAGCACAGGCTACAGCATGCAGCTTGCTCTCTGGCTCCCCCTGTAGGGCTACACTGGAAAGCTCGACCCAGAGCTCCACCTCAGTAAGACGGTGAACTTCTCTTCGGCCACGCTGCCAGGCATGTTCCAGAGGACGCTCGAGAGCTACATCGACAAACGCATGGGCACCACCTACGGGCCGCCGGCCGGACGCAGGATGACCGTCTTCATAGACGACATCAACATGCCCGTAATCAACGAATGGGGCGACCAGGTGGGCTTCAGGCTCTCTGTGATTGGTCAAACTTTTGCTAGCTTACCTCTTGGTTTCTCACAGAATAACCTCCACATCACAAATAACCAATCAGCTCAGTTTCCCCCCCACCCTGTTCTCTTTAATATGCATGTAACCAATCAGATTATTGTATCTCTGACACGCCCCCACATCTCACTCAGATAACCAATGAGATTGTGCGTCAGCTGATGGAGCAGGGAGGTTTCTACAGCCTGGATCGTCCAGGAGAGTTCATCACTGTGGTGGATGTTCAGGTGAAGTTTGGCTGTGGTTGGAGCGCTGTGGCACATTCTGGATGTTTCCATGATGACAGACTGATGAAGGTTACTGTGAGCAAAGGCAGGAGGACGCTACAGATATACTGGAGTATTACAGCTGTACCTAATGAAGTGGAGGGAAATATATGAAGTGAACACAAACCTGTTGGTTTGAGGGATTCCTTCAAAAGTTTTAAATCACAAACAGAGAGATGATGATGATGATGATGTTAGATCATCTGCTCTGTGACTGACTGATGTGTGTAATGATGTTTACCAGCTGGTGGCAGCCATGATTCACCCCGGCGGCGGTCGGAACGACATCCCTCAACGTCTGAAGCGCCAGTTCTCCATCTTTAACTGCACGCTGCCCTCCAACTCCTCCATCGATAAGATCTTTGGCACTGTGGCTCAGGGCTACTTCTGCCCAGAGAGAGGCTTCCCCGGCCCGGTGTGCCAGCTCGCCGCCGCCCTCGTCCCCACCACCAGGCGGGTGTGGCAGGCCGTGAAGGCGAAGGTTTGTTTTTTAAATAAGATTAAATCAGACCTTCAGAATAAAAGAAGGCTAAAATGTATTTAATTCTTTATAAACAGTCATTAAAAAATAATATTTAAAGCAGCTGATGATCACTAAAAGATCCCCTCTGAGCTTTTTTCAGCACCAGAAACTCGGTAGGGAACAAGAGCAGGTCCAGGGGGTCTGTACACAGGAAACAAAAGCATTAACACAAGAAGCTGAGACGCGGGAACTAGACTGTAGTGTCCAAGCCGGGATTTCACTGACACAGGTCAAGCAACGATCCAGCGAAGAGCAGTCTGGCTTCTTCCCTTTAGTAGAGGCCAGTTAATGAGACGCAAATGTTGATCATCTCCCAGGTATGTAGGCCAAAGGCGGAGCCCACAATGAGCTACGCCCAGGCGACAGAGGGAGAGAAAAAGAACACAAAGCAGAACTTCTCAGGCAGATCAGCCGTGACAGGAAAGAACACAGACGCAGCCTCGACGAGGGGAGACAGAGCAGCTATGGACACAGAAACCATAGACAGAGAACTCTAACAAAGAAACCAAAACACCAGAAAAGATCAATAATATCAAAGTTCAATAATAATGTCAAACTGAAAACTCTGGCTCCAGGCACCCGAACAAATTTGACATTTTGATGAGTTTTGCTGTAATTGTAACTTTGCTTGACTTGATTTTGTTTGCATTCAGTCTGTGGATGTTTCTCAGATGTGATCTTCTCTCTCCTCAGATGTTACCGTCTCCTGCAAAGTTTCACTACATCTTCAACCTGCGTGACCTCAGCAGAATCTGGCAGGTAGAAAAAAAATCACACGTAGTTTTATTTCTTCTTCTTTTAATCCTGAATAAACGTTTTGTCCTTTTTCCTGAGACTTTCTCACTCGTACATTTATCCTGAAGCAACTCTCTGACCCGGGGATGTGAACGAGTCCCTGTGTGTTTCAGGGGATCCTCACGGTGAAGTCAGAGGTGTGTCAGAGCTCTGAGCTCCTCTCCGCTCTCTTCCATCACGAGTGCTGCAGAGCGATCGCCGATCGATTCGTCGACAGCGGCGACAGACGAGCGTTCAGCAGCATCGTGGAGGCGGTGTGTGCGCTGTGACATCAGCACTGTGACCATCAGTCACAGCTTACAGAACATAAAGAACATGATCTGCTGCTTGTTTTGGAAAAGACTGAGTTTCATTTTTAAACTCAATAAATGTTAATAATACTGAAAACTAAGAGAAGGGATTTCTGGGAGATATAGTTGATCCATTTTTAGGAAATTTGCTCGTCAAATAAAAGATTCCAAACTGGCAGCTTCATTAACCCTGGACGTG